CGGCCCGCTGCCCCTCCTCCCGCCGCCTGCCGGCCGCCGCGGGACCCGCAGCGGCGTCGCTGGCCCTTTTCTCTCCCAAACCCAAGCGGCGTGGCGAAGAGAGAGGCCTGAAGGAACCTCTGGGTCTGCACAGCCCCCGTGGATAGCCGCCATGGACTCCTACCTGGTCGGCTCCACCCGCGGCCATCTTGGAAGTGGGAAGCGGCCGGGAGGGGGTAGGCGCGCGAGCGGGCAGGGACCAGGCATGGGGAGCCGAGTAGCGGAGCGCATCGATGGGCGCCCTTGCCTCAGGGCAGGTGAGCGAGGGGCGTGGTTTGGCCCGCAGGTGAGCCTTTGGCAAAGTAGCTTCGGGCTCATCCAGGGCTCATCCAGGCCTTGCCAGAGCTTCAGCTGTCAAACGGGCTTTCTCGGTGCTCCTTCTTACTGAGCCCGCCCAGTGGCCGGCGCGCTCTCCAAACCTGCGGCACTTACCTCCTGAGCATTTTTAAAGATTCCAAAACCCGGCCAGTCGGACTGTCTCTGGAGGTGAGACAGGGCTTCTCCAGCCTGTTTTGGAAACTCTGTGATGAGCACGAAGCTGGGGGCAGGTGACTGAGCGATCATTTGCGTTTGTTTCTCTTTAAAGTTACAGGTACCCAGCGGTCCGCAGGTTATAGAGGAGGGATGCAGTCCCCTACCCAAGGCTGCAGTAGCCCAGGGAGCAGAAGCCAGATGCCTCGTTCCCAACTTTCCTCTGAGACCTTGGAAAGACCCAGAATGTGCAAGCTCCCATTGAGTGGAACCCACACCTAACCCCAAAACCCCACCCCTAAAATGTAGACAGGCTTCCTGAGCCCTACTGGGTTTGTTTACAGCTGTGTTCCCTGGGCCTGACACGAGTAGGCACTTAATATTGTTGAATTCTCATTCTATTCTGGGGACTTTAAGACCTCAGGGGCTGGGTTCTGGAAGTTGGCTCCTACCAGCCTGGAGCCCTGAGGGCTGTCCCCGGCAACCCAGGGCGGGAACCCCAACGGAACCCAGCGGGACAGGCAGCTGAATCTTGGGGAGGACTCGAACTAGCAGAGCAGGCAGGGAAGGGCCATGTCTCCCCCACTCCAGGCAACTGAAAGTTTGCAAGGGCAGGTGGCTTTGTCTGGGCTCTGCCCATGTGGGTTGGACAGAAAAGCCCGGCTTGTCCCTCCCCTCCCATAGTCTGGAACTCTTAGCTCCTCTTGTCATGACAGGAAGTGTGAACTTTAAAAAGGCAATCTCCCATAGAATACATTAACACCCCTCACTGTGCTTGGTGCATAACGAAGCTTTCTAAATGCTTCCTTTTCTGTGTGGTTTTGAGCAAAAATAATACCGGGTCTCCTTCAGACTCCACATGCCCAGCTTATTTTAAGAAAACACTAACGAAGTACACAGGCTTGCTTCATTCCTGACCTAATTAGCAATATAATACATCAGATTAATAAATCTGCTTTCAGTGTTTCCTGCATCTCCCTCCCAGCCTTCATTCTAAGTCTTCAGGTTTTAAAAGCTACAGGGACGACTATTGTTCTGAATCCAGAACCACAAAGTTTGTGGCGACAGGTGTGCACCTGGCACCCTCCGAGTCCCCAGCCCGATCCTGTCCTCCGGGGCCCCGCCCACAAGTCTGGGGTGACCACCTCATACCCTTTGTATCAGTGCCAGAAGTGATCTAACCGATGTGTCTGTCCAACGAAAACTGAAAATACTGTGACCGGGACTTCACCCAGGCCGCCCCCAGAGTGGCTCTTGCCCACGGCTGTCGCCGGAGGGCCCTGCCGCCGAGCCTTGTTCTAGGCCCAGGCTGGTGCGGGGCCCTGGGCCAGGCTGACGCCCTCTGGTGGGCATCTGGGTTGGGCCCTCCCCCAGTGTGTGAGCCTGCAGTGAGGTGGGGCATGGGAGTGTGCGTGGGCAAACCTGACTGGGCTGGTTCTGGGGTTTGGGGGGCTGTCAGCAGTGGAGAGCAGGCACGCTGGGCAGCCTGCCAGGTGCAGAGACCCCGTGGCCCCAGGGACCCATGCAGCGGCCTCTTTGAGCCTCCCTGGGCCCGAGTAGCCAAAGCTGGGCACCCTTCCCAGAGGCTGAGTACCGATGACACCACCCCTGAGCCGGCTGCTGCCTGCCCGGTGCCTGCCCAGTGCCTGGCTCTGGGACACGAGAGTGCCCGCCTCATAGAGCCCCAGTCCCTCCCGCCTCACACTGGAGACGGAATTCTCTTTGCCGGGTCCCAGCTTGGGTTTCCCGGGCTGGTTCTGGAAATGGAGCCCCAGGAGGGGAAAACAGGCGAAGCACCTGCAGCCCAGGATGGCCTCCCAGCAGCCCGAGCACACCAGCAGAGCGCAGACAGCCGCTGCCTGGCCCCACCCCGAGGGCGCGCGCGCCCAGAGCAGCCCAGTAAACAGACCGGAACTTGGGGAGAGTGGAGCCAGCGGGGCTTCCAAACACTGGAAGCCGTGACCTAGGGGCAGACAGAGGGGGCGCCCCGGGGCAGGGGGACCCTCTGTGGCCTGGGGCGCCCTGGTTCTTCAACAGGCCCCTTGCTGGAGACCGAAAGTGCCAGGGACCGAAGGCCGGGGCTTCCAGTTCCGGCACAGCAGCGTGGAATTTTCCAAACAGCCTTGTTTTTAAGAGCATCACCCAGTCTGCCTGCTGCCGGCGCCGTCAGGAAGTAGAGCCCGATTTAGAACCCACAGGAATGAGGTCTCGCGTGGGAGCCGCGTGAGGGCAGAGGTGGCGGGGGCCGCCCGGGCCGCCGCATGAAACCCTGGGGCCGGCCGCAGGGGCCCGACCAGGCCGCCGGGCGCTCACAGCACCTGGGCTCGCTCACCTGCAGCCCAGCACCTGCTCCGCCCGGGGGAACACCGCGCCCTGCTTGCGCTGGGACCCGCGGCAGCCCAGGGGCCGGGCAGCGCCCAACGTCCTGCGACTCCCCCACGCCTGCCCTGAGCCCGCGCGGGGGTGCTGTGAGGTCGGCCCTGCCCACCGAGTGTGCCCGGCCCCCGCCCCCGCCCCGCAGGCCCCCCTGAACCTCAGTGTGGGGCTTGCTCGGTGGAGGTGGCGGACAGCTGACCGGCCATCTGCGTGGAGGCCCCACGCCGCGCCGCCCCTCCGCCCGTGCTCAGTGTGGGGTGTGGGGGGGGCCTCGCTTTCCCCTGCCCAGGGGGCTGCCGGAGATGAAAGCGGGAACTTGAGCTTCGAGGGCCCACGGAGCTGGGCGGCCCAGCCTTCCTGGCAGGCCACGGGCGTGGGCCCTCGGGAGAGCCGCGGCCTCTCTGGGCCTTCGCTCCTCAGAACCGCCGGTGGGGAGCGACTCGTCACGTGGAGGGGCCGGGCAGGTGCTGCCTCCCCCACGGCCTGACTGCCCCGGCCCTGCGACTTCCCAGCCCCATCTCGGGGCGCCTTCTTGGGTACACCCCACTTGCCTTATCAAACCGTGGTCCCTATTTTTCCGAACTCATTCACCCACCACCAGCTCCCTTCGTGCATGCGCACACACGTGGGCACGCTCGCCATTGCCCAAGCACACGCTCACACACCTGTTGGGGGGCTTCACCCCCTTCCTTCAAGCTCCTGAAAGCTCAGTGTAGCTGGAGCTCAGCTAGTCTGCAAGACCCCCCATAGCTCACTTGGAGGGGTGAGAGGAGTGGGGGCCCCCGGAGAGCGAGGACCGACCCGGGAAACCACCTGGTGGGTTTGGGGCCGGCACCCACGCCCGGGTTTCCCGGCCTGGCACTGCGTCCCGTGCTGCGTGCTCAGGCTCCGGCTTGGGGCCTCCTGCAGGCCCGCGGTGGGCCCCGGGGACCCCACCGCCCACTCGGCTGCCTCCAGGGGCTCCCCTCTGGCGGCGCGGGGCCTGGGGGCGGCACGGCACACCTGGCAGCCCCTGCTGGCCAGCTCCTGCTCCGGCAGCGTGCCCCTTGGGCTACCGCGGCGGGAAGGGCACGCGGGCGGCACGGCCCAGGGCAGCGCAGTCAGACGGGCGGCTGGCTGTGCGCGCCCTGCTCCGTCCCCACCCGGCCAGGGCGCCGGCCAGCCTGGCACGCGGGCAGCATGTGGCGGTGAAGGCACAGGAAGAGGCGGGCGGTGGGCCTGCCCGCGAGGAGGGAAAGCTCTGCGTGGCCCCGGGGCAGCAGGGAGGCGTGCGCCCCGCCCTAGGCAGCCCAGCCGCTGCCCCTGCGGCCCCCGAGCCAGCAGCCAGCACGCCCTCGCCGGGCCCTGTGCACGGCCGGCAAGCAGAGGGGCATGGCCGCCTGTGTTTACAGGCTGGGGTTCAGGGGGGCCAGGGCTGTGCTTCCGCCTCCCACACAGGCCTCCCCAGCTGCCGTGTCCCCCGGGGGGCGAGGGGGCCAGCCCCATCCTGCTCCTCGAACGCCGGGAGGCTGGCCCCCAACGGGTGAGCTCGGCTCGCCGCTCCCCCTGGCCCGGCCACCACAGGAGCGGCTCCCGGGCTTTGACGTGACCCGCCTGACGCAGAGGGCAGCAGCCCGCAGCACAGGCCTCTGTGGAGACCGACCAGTCGGAAGGCCCCTCGGGGCGGCCGCCCCTGGGTGGAGGCGGGCACACGAGGGCCGCCCACAGGCGCTGTGACCTCCTCCGGTGGCTGGGCAGCCGCTTCCCACTCGCGCGTCTGGTGCGGCCCTTTCCAGCGGCCCCGCTCAGAGCCCCAGGGCCGCAGCCCGCCTGACACCAGGGGGCACCGAGGCACAGAAGAGCTCAACCGGAGGGGCCCCGTGCCCAGGCGAGTCCTGGTAAGGCCGCTGCACATCAGAGACGCCAGGCTTGCGCAGCTCTGGCGGGAGCCGCTGCCCCACCCCAGGCCCCCCGTCCCTGCCCCTGGGATCCGGGCAAGCGAGGGCTCCGGCTCGGCCTGGCTGTGGGGTCCTGGCTGCACCCCGCGCTGAGCCCCTGGAGCGGCCAGGCCCGTGGCCATTACTCAC